AATATTATACAATATCTCACTATTCCAGCACAACCATCAACTTTGGTGATAAAGCTACAACCATCCACCTCAGCAAACACTCCACAGCCATCCACCTCAGCAAACACTCCACAACCATCCACCTCAGCAAACACTCCACAACCATCCACCTCAGCAAACACTCCACAATCATCCACCTCAGCAAACACTCCACAACCATCCACCTCAGCAAACACTCCACAGCCATCCACCTCAGCAAACACTCCACAATCATCCACCTCAGCAAACAGTCCACAACCATCCACCTCAGCAAACAGTCCACAACCATCCACCTCAGCAAACAGTCCACAACCATCCACCTCAGCAAACAGTTCACAACCATCCACCTCAGCAAACAATCCACAACCATCCACCTCAGCAAACAGTTCACAACCATCCACCTCAGCAAACAGTTCACAACCATCCACCTCAGCAAACAATCCACAACCATCCACCTCAGCAAACAGTCCACAACCATCCACCTCAGCAAACAATCCACAACCATCCACCTCAGCAAACACTCCACAATCATACACCTCAGCAAACAATCCACAACCATCCACCTCAGCAAACAGTTCACAACCATCCACCTCAGCAAACAGTTCACAACCATCCACCTCAGCAAACAGTTCACAACCATCCACCTCAGCAAACAGTCCACAATCATCCACCTCAGCAAACACTCCACAATCATACACCTCAGCAAACAATCCACAACCATCCACCTCAGCAAACACTCCACAACCATCCACCTCAGCAAACACTCCACAGCCATCCACCTCAGCAAACACTCCACAGCCATCCACCTCAGCAAACAATCCACAACCATCCACCTCAGCAAACAGTCCACAACCATCCACCTCAGCAAACACTCCACAATCATCCACCTCAGCAAACACTCCACAATCATCCACCTCAGCAAACTCTCCACACTCATCCACCTCAGCAAACACTCCACAATCATCCACCTCAGCAAACTCTCCACACCCATCCACCTCAGCAAACACTCCACAACCATCCATGTCAGCAAACACTCCACAATCATCCACCTCAGCAAACACTCCACAACCATCCACCTCAACAAACACTCCACAACCATCCACCTCAGCAAACACTCCACAATCATCCATGTCAGCAAACACTCCACAATCATCCACCTCAGCAAACACTCCACAACCATCCACCTCAGCAAACACTCCACAATCATCCACCTCAGCAAACACTCCACAACCATCCACCTCAACAAACACTCCACAACCATCCACCTCAACAAACACTCCACAACCATCCATGTCAGCAAACACTCCACAATCATCCATGTCAGCAAACACTCCACAACCATCCACCTCAGCAAACACTCCACAACCATCCATGTCAGCAAACACTCCACAACCATCCACCTCAACAAACACTCTACAATCATCCACCTCAGCAAACACTCCACAACCATCCATGTCAGCAAACACTCCACAACCATCCACCTCAGCAAACACTCCACAACCATCCACCTCAACAAACACTCCACAGCCATCCACCTCAACAAACACTCCACAACCATCCACCTCAACAAACACTCCACAACCATCCATGTCAACAAACACTCCACAATCATCCACCTCAGCAAACATTCCACAATCATCCACCTCAGCAAACACTCCACAATCATCCACCTCAACAAACACTCCACAACCATCCACCTCAGCAAACACTCCACAATTATACACCTCAACAAACACTTCACAACCATCCACCTCAACAAACACTCCACAACCATCCACCTCAGCAAACACTCCACAACCATCCACCTCAGCAAACACTCCACAACCATCCACCTCAACAAACACTCCACAACCATCCACTCAAAAAAACACTCCACAACCATCCATGTCAGCAAACACTCCACAGCCATCCACCTCAACAAACACTCCACAATCATCCACCTCAACAAACACTCCACAATCATCCACCTCAACAAACACTCCACAACCATCCACCTCAGCAAACACTCCACAACCATCCACCTCAGCAAACACTCCACAACCATCCACCTCAACAAACACTCCACAACCATCCATGTCAGCAAACACTCCACAACCATCCACCTCAACAAACACTCCACAATCATCCACCTCAACAAACACTCCACAACCATCCACCTCAGCAAACACTCCACAACCATCCACCTCAGCAAACACTCCACAACCATCCACCTCAACAAACACTCCACAGCCATCCACCTCAGCAAACACTCCACAACCATCCACCTCAGCAAACACTCCACAACCATCCACCTCAACAAACACTCCACAACCATCCACCTCAACAAACACTCCACAACCATCCATGTCAGCAAACACTCCACAATCATCCACCTCAACAAACACTCCACAACCATCCACCTCAACAAACACTCCACAACCATCCACCTCAGCAAACACTCCACAACCATCCACCTCAACAAACACTCCACAACCATCCATGTCAGCAAACACTCCACAACCATCCACCTCAACAAACACTCCACAATCATCCACCTCAACAAACACTCCACAACCATCCACCTCAGCAAACACTCCACAACCATCCACCTCAGCAAACACTCCACAACCATCCACCTCAACAAACACTCCACAACCATCCACCTCAACAAACACTCCACAACCATCCACCTCAACAAACACTCCACAATCATCCACCTCAACAAACACTCCACAACCATCCACCTCAGCAACACTCCACAATCATCCACCTCAGCAAACACTCCACAACCATCCACCTCAACAAACACTCCACAACCATCCACCTCAACAAACACTCCACAACCATCCACCTCAACAAACACTCCACAGCCATCCACCTCAGCAAACACTCCACAACCATCCACCTCAACAAACACTCCACAACCATCCACCTCAACAAACACTCCACAACCATCCATGTCAGCAAACACTCCACAATCATCCACCTCAACAAACACTCCACAACCATCCACCTCAACAAACACTCCACAACCATCCACCTCAGCAAACACTCCACAACCATCCACCTCAACAAACACTCCACAACCATCCACCTCAACAAACACTCCACAACCATCCACCTCAACAAACACTCCACAAACCATCCATGTCAGCAAACACTCCACAATCATCCACCTCAACAAACACTCCACAACCATCCACCTCAACAAACACTCCACAACCATCCATGTCAACAAACACTCCACAACCATCCATGTCAACAAACACTCCACAATCATCCACCTCAACAAACACTCCACAATCATCCACCTCAGAAAAACACTCCACAATCATCCACCTCAGCAAACACTCCACAATCATCCACCTCAGCAAACACTCCACAACCATCCATGTCAACAAACCCTCCACAACCATCCACCTCAACAAACACTCCACAATCATCCACCTCAACAAACACTCCACAACCATCCATGTCAGCAAACACTCCACAATCATCCACCTCAGCAAACACTCCACAACCATCCACCTCAACAAACACTCCACAACCATCCACCTCAACAAACACTCCACAACCATCCATGTCAGCAAACACTCCACAATCATCCACCTCAACAAACACTCCACAACCATCCACCTCAACAAACACTCCACAACCATCCATGTCAACAAACACTCCACAACCATCCATGTCAGCAAACACTCCACAATCATCCACCTCAACAAACACTCCACAACCATCCACCTCAACAAACACTCCACAATCATCCACCTCAACAAACACTCCACAATCATCCACCTCAACAAACACTCCACAACCATCCACCTCAGCAAACACTCCACAACCATCCACCTCAGCAAACACTCCACAATCATCCACCTCAACAAACACTCCACAATCATCCACCTCAGCCCAGTAGGGTCACAGCATCTCTCTCCACTGTTAACAAACATTGAAAAACACCAGCAAGTACAATTTAAGACAACAAATATTATTTCTGTAACATGTGTAGACTTAAGCAATGCATTAAACATAATACATCATGACAATGAACAACAATTATATAATTTTTATTTTTTTTACAATTTAGAGACCTAAAAAACAAAAGTCGTTTGCCATTTTGGGATCCTAGGAATGTAACCCTATTTTCCCCATATGTTCTTCAGTTTGTTTTACAGAATTTCATCTTGCAGGTAATTTTCAGGAACATAACTACCCTGTTAACAGTCTACTGTATGTAGCTTAATATCGTGTATATTTGTAAATACAAATATTGCTTGTTTGTTGGCGGGGGTTTTATTTGTTGGCACTAATATCCGTTGTTCTGGAGTGGGGGCTGCTGTACCACTTACTGTACCACTGATTGTGGACTTCCTGGACCCTCAAGTGTTGTGTTAGGTAGTGTTGTAACATAGTTCCTGGACTGTGGTGTGACATAAGATAAAACTTTATACAAGAAACACAGCCACACTATGTACATCACAGCTCACACCGGTTTCAGTAGTTTCTGTTGACCATCAAAGTTGTATGTCCCAGTGGTGGTGGTGATGGTTGATGGTGGTGGTGGTGGTGGTGGGTGGTGGTGGGGGTGGTGATGGTGGGTGGTGGTGGTGGTGGTGGTGGTGATGGTTGATGGTGGTGGTGGTGGTGGTGGTGATGGTTGATGGTGGTGGTGGTGGTGGTGGGTGGTGGTGGTGGTGGTGGTGGTGGGTGGTGGTGGTGGTGTGGTGGTGGGTGGTGGTGGTGGTGGTGGTGGTGGGTGTTGGGTGGTGGTGGTGGTGGTGGTGGTGGTGGTGGTGGTGGTGGGTGGGGGTGGTGGGTGGTGGTGGTGGGTGGTGGGTGGGGTGGTGGTGGGGGTGGTGGTGGTGTGGTGGTGGTGGTGGTGGGTGGTGGGTGGTGGTGGTGGTGGTGGGTGGTGGTGGTGGGTGGTGGATGGTGGTGGTGGTGGTGGGTGGTGGTGGTGGGGGGGGTGGCAGTGAGTGGTAGTGGTGGTAGTGACTCACCTTATAATCACCAGGTGGTTGTTGATGGTTGTCAGGTGGTAGACTCAACACCTGGTAGAGCAGCACCAGTGTTGCCAGACTCACAGCACCACCGAACACCACCGACGACGCTCGCAACCGCATCATCAACCTGACAACAACAACCATTAATAATAGTATATAAGTGTAAATGTGGAGTATATAAGTGTAAATGTGGAGTATATAAGTGTAAATGTGGAGTATATAAGTGTAAATGTGGAGTATATAAGTGTAAATGTGGAGTATATAAGTGTAAATGTGGAGTATATAAGTGTAAATGTCGAGTATATAAGTGTAAATGTGGAATACATAAGTGTAAATGTGGAGTATGTAAGTGTAAATGTGGAGTATATAAGTGTAAATGTGGAGTATATAAGTGTAAATGTGGAGTATATAAGTGTAAATGGACAATGTGTTTGTAAACTGTGATGCTAATTGAACCTTCAAGAAATTTTGAGGAAGGTGGGAACCAGCATTGTGGTGGAATACATGGGTGGAGGGGAGGGCATGGACAATATAGCGATGTATTACTGGTTGTTGTGGTGGAATAAACAGGGGGAGGAGGTTACACAAATAACCCTCACATAGAAGAGAGGAGCTTACGACGATGTTTCGGTCCGACTTGGACCATTTACAAAGTCACACTAACAAGAAGTAGAGCAGGATGGGTATATATAGGCAGGAAGAGGTAGTGGGACTAGTGTCCCACCTACCTCTGAGCTACAACTATCATCACTAACTGATATGTTTACTTTAGTTATACCTGGCCAATATTATCTGCATGTAACACTTAAGATTAATGACTCTCAATCTCATCGATATAATTTCTCATAAAAATAATAATACAGGTTGACCATCACTAATCTGGCATCGTCAGGACCTGTAGGGTGCCAGATTAGTGATTTTGCCGGATCACAGAGTGGTTAGGTTAGAACATACTTAACAAAACGGCAATATTTACACATCGGCAATTTCCACCGCTTTACGCCCTATTTTTGGAACATTACATTATTCCTTATCATTTATGCACAAAGTACTGTGTATAAGCTTTACACAATGAGAAGCATTTCTTTTATTCGTTGGAACCATGGCTAGGGCTAAAAGTAAGCAGATTATAACAATATATGAAGAAAAAGAAATTGGAATGACTTATGCGGCAAGTAGCGCCACCAAACAGTAGCAGCAGATTGGTGTGGCGACCCTGGAAAATTTGAAATTATGCTAGCCAATATTAGTGCTGGATTACTGATGGTTTACTGATTGCTGGGTTAGTGATTTGCTGACCTGTATTAATAATAATTTGCTGACCTGTATTAATAATAATTTGCTGACCTGTATTAATAAAAATTTGCTGACCTGTATTAATAATAATAATGACAATAAACCAGCACTTAGACTGGAACTACAGTGGTCAGCAACTCTTCTGAGGTGTCAGCACTGTTGTACTAGCCTTGTGTCAACACTGTTGTACTAGCCTTGTGTCAGCACTGTTGTACTAGCCTTGTGTCAACACTGTTGTACTAGCCTTGTGCCAGCACTGTTGCACTAGCCTTGTGTCAGCACTGTTGTACTAGCCTTGTGTCAGCACTGTTGTACTAGCCTTGTGCCAGCACTGTTGTACTAGCCTTGTGTCAACACTGTTGTACTAGCCTTGTGTCAGCACTGTTGCACTAGCCTTGTGTCAGCACTGTTGTACTAGCCTTGTGTCAACACTGTTGTACTAGCCTTGTGTCAACACTGTTGTACTAGCCTTGTGTCAGCACTGTTGCACTAGCCTTGTGTCAGCACTGTTGTACTAGCCTTGTGTCAACACTGTTGTACTAGCCTTGTGTCAACACTGTTGTACTGGCCTTGTGTCAGCACTGTTGTACTGGCTTTGTGTCAGCACTGTTGTACTAGCCTTGTCTCAACACTGTTGTACTAGCCTTGTGTCAGCACTGTTGTACTGGCCTTGTGTCAACACTGTTGTACTAGCCTTGTGTCAGCACTGTTGTACTAGCCTTGTGTCAGCACTGTTGTACTAGCCTTGTGTCAGCACTGTTGTACTAGCCTTGTGTCAACACTGTTGTACTAGCCTTGTGTCAGCACTGTTGTACTAGCCTTGTGTCAGCACTGTTGTACTAGCCTTGTGTCAGCACTGTTGTACTAGCCTTGTGTCAACACTGTTGTACTAGCCTTGTGTCAGCACTGTTGTACTAGCCTTGTGTCAACACTGTTGTACTAGCCTTGTGTCAACACTGTTGTACTAGCCTTGTGTCAGCACTGTTGTACTAGCCTTGTGTCAACACTGTTGTACTAGCCTTGTGTCAGCACTGTTGTACTAGCCTTGTGTCAGCACTGTTGTACTAGCCTTGTGTCAACACTGTTGTACTAGCCTTGTGTCAGCACTGTTGTACTAGCCTTGTGTCAGCACTGTTGTACTAGCCTTGTGTCAGCACTTTGTAGATGAATGGTTCAGAGAACCGACATGTTGATAAATTAAACGTTTCGCCACTGTGTGGCGAAACATTTCCTCAATAAAGATACCTAGAGTTGCACATGTGTCTAATTTATCAACATGTCGGTTCTCTGAACCATTCATCTACAAAGCTGTCAGACACTGCATCTTCTTGGGATCTTAATACTTGGGAATTCTTCGCTTGCCTAATTCTTGGGCACGACCTACTTCAACATTGAATAAGTGTTACACTGCCTCTGACTGCTTCACCTCTCCTGCCAACGGTATATAAGCTCCTTCTCAGCACGTATGCCGTATTCTATTCAAGATTGATGGACTGACCACATCGACTCAAGGTTGAGGGACTGATTACCTCATTCTCCTCCTATTCTTCAAGATTCTCCTTTGTATGGACTGATGAAGCCACTGTGTGGCGAAACGTTTCCTCAATAAAGATACCCAAGAGTTGCACATGTGTCTAATTTATCAACTTGTGTCAGCACTGTTGTACTAGCCTTGTGTCAGCACTGTTGTACTAGCCTTGTGTCAACACTGTTGTACTGGTCTTGTGTCAGCACTGTTGTACTAGCCTTGTGTCAGCACTGTTGTACTAGCCTTGTGTCAGCACTGTTGTACTAGCCTTGTGTCAGCACTGTTGTACTAGCCTTGTGCCAGCACTGTTGTACTAGCCTTGTGTCAGCACTGTTGTACTAGCCTTGTGCCAGCACTGTTGTACTGGTCTTGTGTCAGCACTGTTGTACTAGCCTTGTGCCAGCACTGTTGTACTAGCCTTGTGTCAGCACTGTTGTACTAGCCTTGTGCCAGCACTGTTGTACTGGTCTTGTGTCAGCACTGCTGTACTGGCCTTGTGTCAGCACTGTTGTACTAGCCTTGTGTCAGCACTGTTGTACTAGCCTTGTGTCAGCACTGTTGTACTAGCCTTGTGTCAGCACTGTTGTACTAGCCTTGTGCCAGCACTGTTGTACTGGCCTTGTGTCAGCACTGTTGTACTAGCCTTGTGTCAGCACTGTTGTACTAGCCTTGTGTCAACACTGTTGTACTAGCCTTGTGTCAGCACTGTTGTACTAGCCTTGTGTCAGCACTGTTGTACTGGTCTTGTGTCAGCACTGCTGTACTGGCCTTGTGTCAGCACTGTTGTACTGGTCTTGTGTCAGCACTGCTGTACTGGCCTTGTGTCAGCACTGTTGTACTGGCCTTGTGTCAGCACTGCTGTACTGGCCTTGTGTCAGCACTGCTATACTGGCCTTGTGTCAGCACTGTTGTACTGGTCTTGTGTCAGCACTGCTGTACTGGCCTTGTGTCAGCACTGTTGTACTGGTCTTGTGTCAGCACTGCTGTACTGGCCTTGTGTCAGCACTGTTGTACTGGCCTTGTGTCAGCACTGCTGTACTGGCCTTGTGTCAGCACTGTTGTACTGGTCTTGTGTCAGCACTGCTGTACTGGCCTTGTGTCAGCACTGCAGTACTGGCCTTGTGTCACCACTGCAGTACTGGCCTTGTGTCAGCACTGCTGTACTGGCCTTGTGTCAGCACTGCTGTACTGGCCTTGTGTCAGCACTGCAGTACTGGCCTTGTGTCAGCACTGCAGTACCCGCCTGACAACAGTAGTAACACCCTGGCTGCCTTCAAGAAGGCACTGGACAGGCACTGGACAGGCACCTGAAGTCAGTACTTGACCAGCCGGACTGTGGCTCGTACAGTGGATTATATGCAGCCAGCAGTAACAGCCTGGTTGATCACGCTCTGAACCACCATGAGGCCTCGGCACAGACCGGGCTGCGGGGGCGTTGACCCTCGGAACTCTCTCCAGGTATACCTGACAACAGTAGTACCCACCTGACAACAGTAGTACCCACCTGACAACAGTAGTGACCACCTGACAACTGTGGTACCCACCTGATAACAGAAGCACCCGCCTGACAACAGTAGTACACACCTCACAACAGCAGTGACCACCTGACAACAGCAACCAACTGAGTACAATAGTAGTGACCACCTGCCAGTAATACACATCTGACAACAGTATCATCCTGACAACAGTAGTGACTACCTGACAATAGTAGTACCCACCTGACAACAGTAACCACCGGACAACAATAGTGACCACCTGACAACTGTGGTACCCACCTGACAAAAGTAGCACCCACCTGACAACAGAAGCCACCACCTGAAAACAGTAGTAACCACCTGACAACTGTGGTACCCACCTGACAACAGTAGCACTCACCTGACAACAGTAGCCACCACCTGAGAACAGCAGTACCCACATGACATCAATAGTACCCACCTGACAACAGTACCGACCACCTGACAACAGTAGTCCACACCTGACAACAGCAGTACCCACCTGACAACATTAGTGATCACTTGACAACAGTATTACCCACCTGACAACAGTAGTGACCACGTGACAACTATGGTACCCACCTGACAACAGTAGTACCCACCTGACAACAGTAGTACCCACCTGACAACAGTAGTAACCACATGACAACAGTATTACCCACCTGACAACAGTAGTGACCACGTGACAACTATGGTACCCACCTGACAACAGTAGTACCCACCTGACAACAGTAGTACCCACCTGACAACAGTAGTAACCACATGACAACAGTATTACCCACCTGACAACAGTAGTGACCACGTGGCAACTATGATACCCACCTGACAACAGTAGTGATCAGCTGACAACAGAATTCCATACCTGACAACAGTATTAACCACCTGACAACAATATTGCCTACCTGACAACAGTAGTTACACCTGACAACAGTAATAATCACCTGACAACAGCAGTACCCACCTGACAACAGCAATGACCACCTGACAACAGCAGTGACCACCTGACAACAGCAGTACCCACCTGACAACAGCAATGACAATCTGACAACAGTAGTGACACCCTGACAACAGCAGTCCACGTCTGACAACAGTAGTACCCACCTGACAACAGTAGTACCCACCTGACAACAGTAGTAACCACCTGACAACAGTAGTGACCACGTACTACTATGGTACCCACCTGACAACAGTAGTAACCACCTGACAACAGTAGTGACCACCTGACAACAGTAGTACCCACCTGACATCAGTAGTGACCACCTGACAACAGTAGTACCCACCTGACAACAGTAGTACCTACCTTACAACAGTAGTACCCACTTGACAACAGTAGTGACCACCTGACGAGAGTAGTATCCACCTGACAACAGTAGTACCCTCCTGACAACAGTAGTATCTACCTGACAACAGTAGTACCCACCTGACAACAGCAGTGACCACCTAAAAACAGTAGTACCCACCTGACAACAGTACTGACCACCTTACAAAAGTAGTGACCACCTGACAACAGTAGTAAACGCCTGACAACAGTAGTAACCACCTAACAACAGTAGTCCCGACCTGACAACAGTAGTGCCTACCTGACAACAGTACCACACACTTGGCAATAGTAGTACCCACCAGACAACAGTAGTACCCACCTGACAACAGTAGTACTCACCTGACAACAGAAGTACCCACCTGACAACAGCAGTACCCACCTGACTACAGTAGCACCCACCTGACAACAGTAGTACCCACCTGACAACAACAGTACCCACCTGACAACAGTAGTGACCACCTGACAACAGTAGTATCCACCTGACAACAGTAGTGACCTCTTCAAAACAGTAGTACCCACCTGACAACAGTAGCACCCACCTGAAAACAGTAGTACCCACCTGACAACAGTAGTAACCACCTGACAACAGAAGTACCCACCTGACAACAGTAGTACCCACCTGACAACAGTAGTACCCACCTGACAACAGCAGTGACCACCTGACAACAGTAGTACCCGCCTGACAACAGTAGTACCCACCTGACAACAGTAGTACCCACCTGACAACAGCAGTACCAACCTGACAACAGTAGTGACCACCAAACAACAGTAATACCCACCTGACAACAGTAGCACCCACCTGACAACAGTAGTACCCTCCTGACAACAGTAGCACCCACCTGACAACAGTAGTACCCACATGACAACAGTAGTACCCACCTGACAACAGTAGTACCCACATGACAACAGTAGTACCCACCTGACAACAGTAGTACCCACCTGACAACAGTAGTAACCACATGACAACAGTATTACCCACCTGACAACAGTAGTGACCACGTGAAAACTATGGTACCCACCTGACAACAGTAGTACCCACCTGACAACAGTAGTACCCACCTCACAACAGTAGTAACCACATGACAACAGTATTACCCACCTGACAACAGTAGTGACCACGTGGCAACTATGATACCCACCTGACAACAGTAGTGATCAGCTGACAACAGAATTCCATACCTGACAACAGTATTAACCACCTGACAACAATATTGCCTACCTGACAACAGTAGTTACCACCTGACAACAGTAATAATCACCTGACAACAGCAGTACCCACCTGACAACAGCAATGACCACCTGACAACAGCAGTGACCACCTGACAACAGCAGTACCCACCTGACAACAGCCATGACAATCTGACAACAGTAGTGACACCCTGACAACAGCAGTCCACGTCTGACAACAATAGTACTCACTTGACAACAGTAGTACCCACCTGACAACAGTAGTACCCACCTGACAACAGTAGTAACCACCTGACAACAGTAGTGACCACGTACTACTATGGTACCCACCTGACAACAGTAGTAACCACCTGACAACAGTAGTGACCACCTGACAACAGTAGTACCCACCTGACATCAGTAGTGACCACCTGACAACAGTAGTACCCACCTGACAACAGTAGTACCTACCTGACAACAGTAGTACCCACTTGACAACAGTAGTGACCACCTGACGAGAGTAGTATCCACCTGACAACAGTAGTACCCTCCTGACAACAGTAGTATCTACCTGACAACAGTAGTACCCACCTGACAACAGCAGTGACCACCTAACAACAGTAGTACCCACCTGACAACAGTACTGACCACCTTACAAAAGTAGTGACCACCTGACAACAGTAGTAAACGCCTGACAACAGTAACCACCTAACAACAGTAGTCCCGACCTGACAACAGTAGTGCCTACCTGACAACAGTACCACACACTTGGCAATAGTAGTACCCACCAGACAACAGTAGTACCCACCTGACAACAGTAGTACTCACCTGACAACAGAAGTACCCACCTGACAACAGCAGTACCCACCTGACTACAGTAGCACCCACCTGACAACAGTAGTACCCACCTGACAACAGTAGTGACCACCTGACAACAGTAGTATCCACCTGACAACAGTAGTGACCTCTTCAAAACAGTAGTACCCACCTGACAACAGTAGCACCCACCTGACAACAGTAGTACCCACCTGACAACAGTAGTAACCACCTGACAACAGAAGTACCCACCTGACAACAGTAGTACCCACCTGACAACAGTAGTACCCACCTGACAACAGTAGTACCCACCTGACAACAGCAGTGACCACCTGACAACAGTAGTACCCGCCTGACAACAGTAGTACCCACCTGACAACAGTAGTACCCACCTGACAACTGTAGTACCAACCTGACAACAGTAGTGACCACCTAACAACAGTAATACCCACCTGACAACAGTAGCACCCACCTGACAACAGTAGTACCCTCCTGACAACAGTAGCACCCACCTGACAACAGTAGTACCCACATGACAACAGTAGTACCCACCTGACAACAGTAGTACCCACATGACAACAGTAGTACCCACCTGACAACAGTAGTACCCACCTGACAACAGTAGCACCAACCTCACAACAGTAGTACCCACCTGACAACAGTAGTACCCACCTGACAACAATATTCCCACCTGAGAACAGTGGTATCCACCTGACAACAGTAGTACCCACATAACAGTAGTACCCACCTGACAACAGTAGCACCCACCTGACAACAGCAGTACCCACCTGACAACAGTAGTACCCACCTGACAACAGTAGTGACCACCTGACAACAGTAGTACCCATCTGACAACAGTAGTACCCACCTGACAATAGTACCCACCTGACAACAGTAGTACCCACCTGACAACAGTAGTACCCACCTGACAATAGTAGTACCCACATGACAACAGTAGTGACCACCTGACAACAGTTGTACCCATCTGACAGTAGTACCCACCTGACAACAACAGTACCCACCTGACAACAGTAGTGACCACCTGACAACAGTAGTGACCACCTGACAACAGTAGTATCCACCTGACAACAGTAGTGACCACTTCAAAACAGTAGTACCCACCTGACAACAGTAGTACCCACCTGACAACAGTAGTACCCACCTGACAACAGTAGTACCCACCTGACAACAGCAGTGACCACCTGACAACAGTAGTACCCGCCTGACAACAGTAGTACCCACCTGACAACAGTAGTAGCCACCTCACAACAATAGTACCAACCTGACAACAGTAGTGACCATCTGACAACAGTAATACCCACCTGACAACAGTAGCACCCACCTGACAACAGTAGTACCCACCTGACAACAGTAGCACCCACCTGACAACAGTAGTACCCACATGACAACAGTAGTACCCACCAGACAACAGTAGTACCCACATGACAACAGTAGTCCCCACCTGACAACAGTAGCATCCACCTGGCAACAGTAGCACCAACCTCACAACAGTAGTACCCACCTGACAACAGTAGTAACCACCTGACAACAATAGTCCCACCTGAGAACAGTAGTATCCACCTGACAACAGTAGTACCCACATAACAGTAGTACCCACCTGACAACAGTAGTACCCACCTGACAACAGTAGCACCCACCTGACAATAGTAGTACCCACCTGACAACAGTAGTACCCACCTGACAACAGTAGTGACCACCTGACAACAGTAGTACCCACCTGACAACAGTAGTGACCACCTGACAACAGTAGTACCCACCTGACAACAGTAGTACCCACCTGACAACAGTAGTACCCACCTGACAACAGTAGTACCCACCTGACAACAGTAGTGACCACCTGACAACAGTAGTACCCACCTGACAACAGTAGTACCCATCTGACAACAGTAGTACCCACCTGACAACAGTAGTACCCACATGACAACTGTAGTACCCACCTGACAACAGTAGTGACCACCTGACAACAGTAGTGACCACCTGACAACAGTAGTGGCCACCTGACAACATTAGTACCCACCTGACAACAGTAGTACCCACCTGACAACAGTAGTGACCACCTGACAACAGTAGTG